GAAAACACCTTTCCCTGAATATATTAGGACAGTGACTGAAATTTTGGCAGTAGTCTGCAAAGGGCTACAGACTTAATGAGATCTAAAACCTGTGCTGTATACTCAGAAACGGTATTTAATAAATGTCTGCGTGACATAGAAAATTTAACTCATTCACTCATACCTACCTGACTTGAGAAAGTGCAGCATGGGCAGTAACAATGTGCATTTCCTTGCACTGCTCGGCTGCAGCTTTTTTTTTCTTTTTCTCCTCCTCTCTCTCCCCTTTATTTTTATTAACATTTCATGAACATTTATTAACATTACCATATTTTATTTTTTTATTAACAATATTACAGTGGAATTGTGGAGGAAATGTTCCCTTGAGACATGAGGCATCATTACCTTACACCCCAGATAGCCTGCCCTAGGGCACTCAGCATCTTGTCATCTGGGTTTTCCTCTTGGCCATCAGCCTCCTGGGATGCATTAGACAAGTTACTTTACTGTCTCATCTTTCTGGTTTGCCAAGCCTATAGAGGAAAGACTGTATGTTGTGTATTTGCATGAGCTTTGCATAGAGGGCTGTGGTCTTGGTTGGGTTTCCAAGGTAATGCTGGAGTAAATATTAAGTGGATGGAAGTCAGGCTTTTAATCTAGTTTGGGTCTGAGGTTGTTAGTGGCTTTTTATTTGAGTGTCTGGAATGACGTGTGGTTAATGTGCTTCCCTGTGTCTCCTAGGGTTCTTGGTACTGATAAACTTTAATGTTTTTTTTGTGCTCTCTGGGGTGTACAATGGAAACATTGATAGCTTGGCTGGAATGTGCCCGTTGTTCCAAAGCTGCATGTTAGAGGCTTGCCAGGGCATTTCTAATACCCAGAGACCGCGTGGTCCATGTGGGTCCTTGGCCACCTACCAGATTAGCAAAACAATAGCATCATTTTTAATGTCAGTTGAGTCTCACGCAAATTCATGTTTCTCTTTTACAAGTGAAAAGGAAGTTAATTTTCACATAATTCTTTAAGCACATTTCAATTAAGGCTTCCGCTGCCAGGGTTTACGGAACATCTTCCCAAAAAGAAATATGATAGGTTTTCCTTAAGGTGTGTTTCATTATTATATTTAAATTTTAGGGGAGAATTTTGGAGAACTGCACATTATTTCAGTTCTTATCACTTTCTGGTCATTTAAAAGATGAGGAACAACAAAGCACCAAATTGGGAAACGTTCTTGTGCTTCGTGGGCCCTTCCTATGTTGGCCAGAAGGAAGGGCTGCCAAGGGCTAGAGAGGGGGAGCAGGAAAGACTGGAAAAGAGGAGCAGACAGAGGAGGGAACATGCTCAGAGCTCCAACATCTTCCTGCAAACTTGTGCAAACAGTGACTTGGAATTTGCTCTTTTCTTTTTTCATTTAGCCATTCGTGATCTTATAAGATACTGAAGTTATATTTTCTATTACTCCTGGTATCATCATAAAACCTGGAAACATAAGTTCTTCATTACTTTGCTGATCTCGTCATAAATCACAAGCAGAGAGCTTCCAGCAGTTTGAAATTACTGGGGGAAAAAAAAGAGATCTTAAGAAACAGTGCTCTGCGAGGCCAGGAGAAAGCTTTGGTACATCTGTACATACACCAAAGCTCAGCTGCTATTTGAATTCTGCACATAGCTGGGAGACGTTGGAGCCAAATTCTCACTGTAAATCAGGGTAGCTCCATTAACTTCACTGGAGCTGTGCCAGCATATCCCAGACAAAGGCTTGGCTCTGCCTATTAATAGTAATAGTCATCAGTCAGAGAGCTGCAGACGCTCCTTTGGAACAAAGTTTTGATTAAGAAACAGAGATAAGACCGACAGAGGAATCTGCCTTGTGGTTCTTGCATGGAAAGCGGCTCCCGTGGGGTTTGAGCCCGCGCGGGAGGTGCAGTCTGTCCAGCTGATGTGCTCAGCCCCGTGCACTGTGACTGTGCTGCAGTCTGATCCTGCAGTTTGGGTCAGCACCATCGCTCCTTCATCCCCTTTTCTTTCTCCATAGCATCAGAAGGTCCAAGTTTGTGCCGTCTCCAGATTTCTATGGCGTTCCTTGAAATTCTTCAATATGCCCTAATAAGGAGAAGGTGAAATTTTATCATCATCTATTGATACTTCATCTTTCCTGTGTGACCCTGTTGTTCAGGGGTGCTTTAAATTTCACAGCTGTGTTTTATTTATGGATAGAGCTCCTTGAGTGCCTTTCTTGAGTCCATTTCTTATGAAAAAGCCCCCAAAGTCCAGCAAAAATTTCTATTCTGTGTGGTGTTTATACTCTTTTAATTTCCTAGAAACTGCTTGCTTTATTTACAGTGCCCCACAAGTCCAGGCTCCCCTAATATATTAACTTGTGTGTTTTGGCTCTGATCCATCTCTTCCCTTGGCTCAAAATGAATGATACCAGAGCTGTCTTTGAAATAAGGCAGGAATGTCGCATTTTTTTTCTTTAAACAGCAGCATCACCGCTCAAATCTCTCTTCCCCGTTTTATGAGACCCTAGTGCTAAAGTACGTAGCTGCGAATGATAGATTAAAGTCTAGTGAGTTCTTCCTTTTTGAAGAAAACAATATTGTGGTAGGATTTGAGAATGCTTTGCATCTCTTCAGGAGGAGCATAAGCATCAAGCAGGTTGTCACTGAAGGTTTTCAAGACTGTTTATTGGTTTGTTTTCTTTTAATACTTAATCAGTCTTTAGAACTAATTTAAATGAGAATTACTAGCTCAAGTCCATGTTAGTACCTCTCTGGTGTGCCAGTTACAGACCCTTGTTAGGCTTCAGTGCTACCTGCGAGTATGGCAGAGGGATTTGAAGCGTGGGGAGAATGGGCTGCACATAGAGATATCATTTATTAAACTAAATGTGTATGCATCATGAGTTATAATTGCTGAGGACTGAGCAAATGTCAAGTGCTGCTAATGAACATCAGCTGCTTTCGAGACTCTTCAGCATTGCATTTTCATTACACCTGAGCTCTAAGCTGATGCTGCTTTTTCCATTAATCTGGTATGTTTGCAGAGGAATTCCTAGCATCACAGTCATAAAAATATTTATCTGTTTTAAAAATCTTTTCTTTTACCTGACAGCAGGATCTCTCATCGAGACACTATCAATCTCTCATCGAGAGACTTTCTGTAGGCCTTGGGGAAGGGCTTTTCAAGGTGCAGATTTGTGAGTGAGGACAGAAGCAGTATGGAAGCTTACTGAAACAACACATCATTTTTATCTTGTTCATCAGATAAAGTGTGATATAATTCTTGCTTCTCTGAGAAATCATGGAAGCCTTTAAGGGAGGGAAGAAAAACTCCAAGCCCTGAACTAGATGCTTTCTGCAGGGCAGTGTGCTGCCCCTTGTGTTTTTTCAGCCATTTCATTAGCAATTATTTGCTCTGTGTTGGTTAAGCTTCATGAGGAAAACTATCTAATAACACCAACAGCTTCATGGCTTTATTGCTGTATTGCTGATCAACGTGTGCTTTTGTGGCCTATGGAATGTGTGTGTATGGATAGCCACCATCCAAGACCCCTCAGGGTGCTGCATCAGCAGCAGATTAACAGAAGCAGCCTCAGCTCTGCTCCTTGCTTGTCCTTGCTGTGCTCGAGGCTGCTTTGGGTGGACAGAATCTGCTGCAAGCCAGAGCCACCCAAAGAGAGAGAAATAGCAGTCACGTAGAGAAACGAGTGTCCGGTTTTGTGTCATTACATGCATTGGTTTGAATTGCTCATATTTGCCAAGGTTCTTGCTGTTACTTTAAATAACAATAAATGAATTTTCTGTTCTGCCGGCAGAGAGGTGAGCTGGGGGGTGGGAATGGGCATCCTGATCTCACCCAGGAGCTCTGCTGGGCTGCCTGAAGCCTGCAGGCCTCGAACAGCCTCAGACGATGCCTGTGCAGCCAGTCGGCCTGCCCGGGGCACGGTTCACCCTGGTTGTCTTAATGGTGACAATTAAATGTCCACGTGTTCGTGTTGCAGTGAATTCTCCTGCACTTGAATGCAGAGGTGCTGGCAGGGCATGGGACATGCTTTGTGCAAGGTGATTGCAGCCCTGCAGTTGTGAAACCCTGTGCCCTGCAGGGCTGCAGCCGCCTGAGGAAGCGCCAGGCGCTGCTCTGCAGCCAGGAGCGCATTTGGA